AAAACATGCATCATTCGATTAAAACCAAACAGTATAATCATCCCAAGTCATTACAATCGAATCCCTAACACATGGAACTAGGGTTCTTCATACCCAAGTGAGAGAAGGGTTCTACTCCATAGAGAGAGAGAGGAAAACAGAATAAAAAGCAGTCATACTCATAACAATGGGAAGAATCTGCTCTGGGATGATGATTTCCACTCCTATGACGATCTCCAAGCTCGATTTGATGAAACCCAGCTCCAAGATAACTTCTAGGATGTGTTCTTCGTACTTTCTCTCTCTAGGGCTCTGTTTTTGCTCTCAAAATCCGATTCACTCACATGTGGCCCGAAATTGGGTAAAAACCAGAAATTCCCGACTCACACGGGCAGGCCACACGGGCGTGTGGCATACCCTGTTGCCCGTGTGAGGTCAAAATGTCGCGTTCCGATTATGTGGGTTTCAGGCTTCCTACATGGCTAGGGGCACACGCCCGTGTAGCTCACCCAGCTTGGCCGTGTGAAGCCTCACAGAATTCCACACGGCCAAAATTTTCACACGGCCGTGTGGTTTGTACTTGTGCCCGTGTGAAGGCTCGCACAATCCCACACAGCCACCTTGGTCACTTGCACGGCCGTGTGAGATTTGTGTGTGCCCGTGTGGCTTCCTTTGCGACTTGCCTCGCTCCCGAACTTCATCCAATCGACCCCGAACTCGCTCCTAAGCCTTCATTCACTTACTAGGACATGAAATATCACAAACAAGCACAACCTAGAGTGAAATCGGCCTAAAACACGAGAATTACCATCTCAAACGGCTCCAGAATAGGGGTAAAAATATGTGCAATTAACGGTTTATCAATGTGACATAACATATCATAATGGTGTAATAGCATGGGGAGCCTTAATTACTATGTAATTGACCATGAGACCAAAGTACTCTTACTTTATCCTTTTACATGATCCATATCTCATCTTGCTTAATCATAATTCATTACTTGGACATGTTCTTGACCTGGCTACAATTAGCTCAACATAACCAGGAGTCGTATAATTGCACTTCCTCGGGATAAATCCTCGTGCAAGTCATCCTCCTTAAACATCATATAATCACCATGAGATATATAGTTTCCCACTTGTGCATCCAAATATAATAATCATGAAAAATTATACCCAATCACCTTCTCAAACTATCATAAGGCATATCCACAATTAAACCCACATCTGGCAACATGTATGCAATCATCAACATAAACAAGGTCCATATCAATTAAGGCAAGTCAATAATATCATACAACAGTCCAGGGTTCATCATACAGCACAAAAGATCATATACCCCTAATCATGCCATTCCAGTTCACCTAGGTCAATTCTAAGCATCAATATAATTATCGTGATACGACAAACCCGGTATGCTGTGCTAACCCCTCACCAGTTCTGGTCGTTCAAACACCGGTTTTCGCTTCCCGTACTAAAATGTCAATTTCACGAACGAACCCGGAATCAAAATCCAAGACCGTCCTAATATCCCATGCAGTGTCCCCGTCAATGTTAGTTCTAGGCTCCGGATCAAATTCCAAATAAAAACATATCAAACCCTGGCCGGAGCTAAATTCAACGATTTGGACCTCGACCTAAATAATTGCCGAAATTCATGGATTAGAACCAGAGGATTAATTACCTCGTTGCAGGAAGCTCGTATATGAAATCTGGTCTCAATCCGGCTTCCCGATACTCCGGAACCCTAATTTGGCTTATCGGGAATTCAAGAAATTCATGAACCAAAAACTCGTTTTAAAGCTCTAAATCGATAAAATACGAGGTATGGATGGATTAGGCATTACTTACGGGATTTTTGGATCACTAGGGCTCAAGAATTGAACTTTGGAAAATTTTTCCCTCGCGTACCTGTGCGCGAAATGCTTGCTCTGTAGCTCTCGGTTTATAAAGCGAAGAAAAAGAAATGGGATGGGAAAGTGTGACCACTTGATGTAATACGTATACTTATCCGATCGATTGATAATCCGATTTTCGCCGAAATACTATCAAAACGCTCGATTTTAAATTGCGAATTTCTAGCGATCGAGATATGGGTTTTGTCAGAACGGGATGTTACATCATAGATATGGTTGGAAATTAGGCTAGGGTTTTGTTTTGGAAGAATGACGTCACTAAACATGAAGATCAATAAGTTCACGGTGAAGAACAACTTCGTTATATGGCAGATCATGATGCAGACTTTATTGAAACAACAAGGGTTGTGTGGCCGTTGTTTGCGAAACAAAAGAAGGCAGTGGTCGATGAAGATGAGTGGAATACTTTGGAGGTGAAGGCCCACTCAACCATCATGCTAGCATTGTCTGATGATGTCATCATTGAAGCCGCTGGTGAAAAGACTGTCGAGGGATTTTGGTTGAAGCTGGAGAGTCTGTACAAGACTAAATCTTTAACCAACAAGTTGCATCTCAAGCAACGATTGTTCTGGTTGAGGATGCAAGAAGCTACGCCTTTGAGGGAACATCAGAAACATCTTTATTCTATTTTGTTGGATTTACGCAATATAGATGTTAAGGTTGATGACGAAGATGCAGCCATAATCCTGCTTGTTTCTTTGCCGAGTTCATATGAGAAATTTGTGGATTCTTTTATGCAGCAACCCCGCCAGCTCCGGGTTTACGTCGCTCCTTGCGGTCCACTTTGGGTTAACCTCCTGTCCGTTTTAATGATTATGAGGCTTATGGTGTGTCGGCTGTTTTTGTTCCTATTCATTTTAAACAGGCACATGGCGATCCAAATTGGGATAATGCGATGAAGGTGGAAATGGATGCTCTTCATGCTAATCGTACATGTACTATGGTCGATCACCCTCCTCCTATTTCTGTAGTCGGCAGTCGGTGGGTTTACAACATCAAGGTTCATCGGGATGGTACTATTGAACGCTTCAAGGTTCGTGTTGTTGCCCAGGGTTATACTCAGGAGCAAGGTGTGTACTATGATGAGACGTTTCCTCCCGTGGCTAAGATGACAACGATTCGTACTCTTCTTGTTATAGCTGTTGTTCGCCATTGGCCTTTGTACCAACTCGACGTGAAGAATGCCTTCTTACACAGTGATCTCAAGGAAGTGGTTTATATGGAACCTCCTCGAGGCTACACTTTAGGTGCTCCAGTTCAGGTCTGCTTGCTGCATCGGTCGCTGTATGGGTTGAAACAGGCTCTCCGTGTCTGGTTCGACAAGTTTCAGGCGACTATTCTTCAGCTTGGGTTTTGTCAAAGCTTGAATGATCCTTCCCTCTTCACTCGTGTGATGTCTACTAGTCTTTTCGCTTTACTTCTATATGTTGATGATATGGTTGTCACGGGTGATGCTGCTGCAGGTATTCAGGTTCTCAAAGAGGGTCTCCAGGCTGCTTTTGACCTTAAAGACTTGGGTGATCTAGATTACTTCCTTGGTCTTGAGGTTACTCACAACTCACGTGGGATTCTTCTGACAGAGGAAAAGTATATTAATGATTTATTGGAGGACCACCAAGTTGCCGACTGCACTCCTGTGCGTTCTCCCATGGAGCTCAACTTGATGTTGCGCCGTTAGTCGGGTGCTCCTTTGACGGATGGCTCAAAGTACATGAGTATTGTGGGTAGTTTGATCTACCTTGCCGCCAGGCGTCCAGACATCTCCCACGCGGTCCACATGGTTAGTCAATTTATGACTCATCCCCATGCTGATCACCTCACTGTTGTCCATCGTTTTCTCAGGTATCTTCAGGGTACTAAGGAGGTCGGGTTGTTCTTCCCTTTCGAAGCATGGTCCATGAAACTGTAACAGATATCGTACCGGAAAAGTCAATAATATGATAGTTTACGATAAAACCTTGGTTTAATCGTAGTTCAACCGTTACACCGTTAAATATAGCCTACCGGTATAGCCTCCGATACTGGTATTTCGTGGTTGAAGCATCGGTACGGTACGGTTTATGGACCATGTTTTGAAGGGATCTTTATCCCTACAAGCGTTATTCAGATTTCGCCGGATGCACTAACACTCGACGATCGTCTACTGGATGGTGTGTTCGCATTGGAGGTTCGTTCATTTCCTGGCGATGCAAGAAACAAGATCGAGTGGCTAAATTTTCAAGCGAGGCAGAGTATCGGGCCATGTCTGATGTAGCTTCCGAGGTTGTCTGGCTGGCACGCTTGCTTGCTGATTTGGCATTCAGTGTCCGCCTACTTTTGACCTCTTTGTGGATAACACGAGCGCCATTCAGATTGCCATCAATCCTGGGTTTCATGATCGCACCAAGCACATCGAGCTTCATTTTGACTATGTACGGGATCAGGTGCGTGATGGATCTCTTCGGTTACATTATGTCACTTCTGAGGAGCAGCTCGCCGATCTGCTCACGAAGGCTCTTCCCACTAGTCGACATTGGTACTTGGCAGGCAAATTGATGCTTCGTGACCGACATCAATTTTGGGGGAGGATGTTAGCCAAATTGGGTTCGGGTTTCCTTCGGCCCATATTGCATTTACATATCCTTGTATATGTAGTCCTTTAAGCCTATGCATACACTAGTGTACTTGTTGGGAGCTATGGTTTGCTAGGGTTGGGGGTAATATATATCGCTATGTAACCTAGTATGGAGATTAAGCTGAGTAAGAGATTCGTCTTCCCCGTGAACTAGTCGGTATTGCTATCTGCAATACTAGAAACAACGTAAATCTGTTTGTTTTGAAGCGAAGAAACAAAACAACATCCTTGTTCCCTTCGGCCAAGATACAAGCAAACCCTATTACGTATACAAAATGGCCACGTGCATGGGCCGGACACATAACATTCATGGGCTGGAGCTTATCCGCTAACAGATATGACACTAATATAATTGATATAATCACTATATCATAGTGATAATATCAAATTATGATTGATACCCATTATGATCGACTTCCCAACTCTCTTCCGTCAATATGAGTTATGAAGACAATGCATTTTGGACGTTCTCTCCTAGTGGTGGCAGGTATATATGTACACCACATTGTATTTCATGTTGAATAAATAAATCACAAAGGGATGTACGCTTATATACATGGAAAGAAAGGATAAACAGATGGAAAAAGTGATCTTATCCATGATGTCTGTATGAGTGATCCATAATCCATGTGTAAACGTACGTTAATGGTACCTTGCAATTAATGTGTTTAAGCTGGCAATGACGAAGTTGTTCCCCTGGGAGTTCAATAACAACTAATATTCCTTTGGCTTCAACACTGGCCACGTCTCAGCAGAAGTCTCTGCTGTACCGATTCTTCACAAAAACATGGTTGACCCCATCCATCGCCATAACTCCCACCAAAATCATGTCTGCCTTCTCTAAGCTCCATGTGCCACGCCGATTTGGACCCTTCATATAGAAACATGTACATTTAGACAGATACCCACATCTCTTTCAACATTTTTCGTCTGGCCAGGGCCAATAGTTGCTGCAGCAACCTCCAATCAATACAAACCGATCGTAGTTAACAAATCCTATACACACGAGATTGGAAAAAGCAGAACAGAGCATTATATATCATAGAATAAGCTCGACAAACCCAAGTGGGGATTTGGTTGGCGAGTACTTTAGTTTAATCCAAAGTCGCGAGTTGTCCTGTTGAGTGCTCCTGTTCGTCTACCAATAACCATCGTGATATTTCTTTTCCAAGGGCTACAGATGGAAATTGGGGAGGCAAGGAAGGGAGCGGTGGTGCAAATTGCATTTGTAGTTTTGCTATTCACAGTGGGGTATCCGGTGGATAAGATTATAACAGGCGCCTACCAGTTTGTGGCGATGTTGTGTTTTCTGACGAAGGTCGTCTGTTTATGTTTCGCCATGTTTTTCCTCATCGGGGCTTTTCATCTTGGGTCGGGTCAATCCACGCGCCCGTTTACTACTTATTAATTGGATGGCGATCCGATACAGTGTCATGACGATGATTTGATGGCTGGATTTTAAGAAGAAGAAGAATTGAGTGGTGAGTGATGAGTGGCTGACCCAATTAATCCAGGATTTAGCCACGAGGGTTGCGTTTATTTCTGCTCGGGGTTAATTATGAATGAATGGATACCCACAGCCTTCTTGACCACACGCAAGAGATAATTATCGCTCCATCAATTGGAAGTTGGAACACAAAGTTCAAATAGCTTGTTGATATTATGTAGAATAATTTATTCCTCAAGTCACAAGTGGACGCCGGCTTGGGAGTATCCAATCAGATATAGCCAACATGCATCACCATCGGCATCACATTGTTCGGTGGCGGATGATCAATGGTATATGGTATCTCCAAAATGTGTTTCGGCTAGCGGCAGAAATCACTTGCACTATCCTAAATATATATATAATTAAAGTTATACATGTATTATTCGAAAGAGATGCGAAGGTGATCATTGACAAACTCAATCAAGGGGATGCCAGAGACAATCGAGTGGGTGCTATTTTGGAAGAGGTCTTGCACTATTTTCGCACCCACCCGGGTTTGAGAGTTCGATTTGTAGGTCGGAGTAGTAATAGGGTAGCCCATCTGGTGGCTAGGAAAGCCCTCTCAGCCCTCTCTTTGTACCCCATCATGAAACATGGCTTTAATTATCAGGTCTGGCTGCGTTTCAGGATGTAACTATCTTTTTTTTTATATCATTACAAGATTATCTTTTGTAAAAAAAAAAAGTTATACATAGGGTACGGTTGCACAAGAGCTTTGCTATTTTGTGCCATGGATTATTTTTGCTTGGTCACAATCATTGATTTGCATTGATTTGCAGGCCCCAACATTGGCTTTATGCTTTCTAGATTGGGGTTTTTTTAATTGGATGTTTTTTTCTTTTACCGATCTTTTCCCCTGTTAGGTAGCTCTATAGCCATTGGCGAATCTCCATCTATCTCACGATTTCCATCGATTACTGTTGCGTAAGAGCTTTGCTATTTTGTGCCATGGGTTATTTTTGCTTGGTCACAATCATTGATTTGCAGGCCCCAACATGGGCTTTATGCTTTCTACTTTGGATTTTTTTTAATTGGGCTTTTAATTGGATGTTTTTTTCTTTCACCGACCTTTTTCCCTGTTAGGCTAACTCTAGTGGAGCCTTCATAAATGAGGGAGCCTCTATATTTGAGGGAAAGTTAGCTCCAATGGAGCCTCTATAAATGGAGGAGTCTCAATATTTGGGGGAGATCTCCAAAAGGATCCCCAAATTTGGGGGTGGAAATGGGGGTTCTCCAAATATAGAGACTCCCCAAAGCCCGCCACGTGGTGTTTCTTTTTCTTTTTAAGATTTTATGGGTTAATTGGGGTTTAATTAGGGGATTAGTTAGGGGTTTAATTAGATCAATAATTTTCAAGTGTTGTGTGTAAACCCAAATTAGGTCAATCATTTTTTGTCAATAAAAATTTGGTCTCAAAATTAAAAAAATTTCTACCGAAAAATTTGTATTTAAAAATGATGACGAACTACACAAAAATTAACATGAGCAAATTATATTAAGACTTCGATAAGTACATTTTTAAGTAAATGGAAAACTTAAAAAATGGAAATCTCCAAATATAGAGAATGTAGCATTGGAGCAAAAGAAAGGAAAATGGGAATGAACCTCAAATTTGGGTTTAGGTAGCTCTGTGGCGATTGGCAAATCTCCATTTATCTCACGATTTCCATCGATTATAGGCAGACGATTTGTAGGGGACGGCAGCGCCGGCGGAGGAGAGATTAGCGAGAATTGATGCAGCGCCGGAGGATTGAATTTCGGTCTTTCCTTTGCAGAGGATGCATGCGAAGGGAAGCAAGGAATCGGACCAGGTCGATGTCTAGGTAGAGAGCGACGTGACGGGGAGGAATGGAGTTGATAGTCAATCAGAGCGTCTAAACGTTGCCGGGTGACGGGGAAGGGAGACTTGGTGGTAGGCATCTTGTGGTCGTGGGAGCAGGAGATGGAAGATTTGAGAAGCTGGTGGGTGGCGGTGTATTGGGTTGTGCAGAGGGGAGAGATTTACTCGATGATAGGGTTATCAGCGGACTGGTCCTGATGCAGTGGTTCAGATGCATTTCTGTTTTCAGAGCTAGATTAAGGTAAAAAGTTGCCATCTCTTTACATGGGTTTTGTTCTTAAAGGAGAAGTGTTATATTTCATTAGCGATGTGAAGGGAAATTGAACTAGGAGGTCTGCAAGCTTTATTGGAGCCTACTATCTATGGTAATTGATTTCTGCAAGGGGTGCGGTTGTGGTGGCCTGTCTATATGGACATGACATCATCTCAGGCGTTGCTTCTATCTTAAGAATTTTGATGTATTATACTTTGATGAAAGCTTACACTCAAGTGTGATGGTATTAGTCTTAGATCAAAATTGTAGGTATATATATGCTGATGGTGATGTTCACATTGAAACGCTAGGAAATGTACAGGGGGAAGCAAAGCAGAGAGGGAAATGTTGGTTAGAGCATTCTAATTATCTCATTAGAGGGGCTTGAGTTCAAGTACTTAAGTCTCATTTCTTAAGTAAAATCTTAAAGCCTTCTTATTGGCTGATAGTAGATTAGGTAGTTAATGGGGTTAGTAGTTAATAGGTAGTTAAGGGTAAATAGGATTATGCAAATATAATTAAAATTAATATAATTAATTAATAATTCTCTTTCTCTCTCCTCCCATGATTTTCTCCATAACCCTCTCTCTACATTATAATTAAAAAGAAATATGAAATTAATTTTATTTAATATTTAATAAAATCCGAATTTAATAATTTTCTTTTTCTAAAATGAAAATTTGAAATTTAAAATATACCGTCTCTCTCACATCTTGGCAACTTCCTATTAGTATTAAGTATTAACATTTTGCAATGAAATTATCAATATTTATAAATTGAATCATCATTAGGGCTTTTCATTGCATGGTTTTGAGATTTTTCGTTGTTAGGTATTCGTTTGTGTTATTATTAATGTTGTTCGACATGTTTTTTAATAATTTTATATGACATTATTAACTTTTTATGTTATGTTTTGTTTGTAACATTAGTAAAAGTGAAATTGTATTTTCAATTTGTTGGTACTTGAAGTTTATTTACTATTACATCGTATTATCAATTTGGTTCGCAATGATTTATAATCATTTGAAGTGCTATTATCAATATTTTTTTCCAAGCACAATACAACCATTAGAAAAAATTTAATTCATTTGTAAGATTGCTTATGTTTAGTGATTTGAATTATTAATATTTTTTCGTTTATGTTTGTAACTTTATCAAATGTCATTATCAAGAAGCATACTTGTTAGATATTCGTTTGTTTATGACATTATAAAAAGTGAATTTAACATTTAATGATATAACTATGGTTATTAATCTTTCAGTCTAAGTTAGTAACGTAGTTTGGTGTCATTATTAACAGGCGTGTATAAGCACTATCAATGTTTGAAATAAGATATTAATAATATCTAATAAGGTACTTAACAATCATTAGTTGCTATTATAGGTGTCAATCGGGCGGGTTCGGCCGGGTTCGGGCTGGGTTCAATCGGGTTCGGGTTCAAACGGGTTGCGGGTTAGTCGGGTTGCGGGTTCATCGGGTTCGGGTTCATCGGGTTCAGGTTCAAACAGGTTGCGGGTTAGTCGGGTTGCGGGTTCATCGGGTTCGGATTCAATCGGGTTGCGGGCAAATCGGGTTGCGGGTTCATCGGGTTTTGGGTCGGGCGGGTCGGGTTTCGGGTTGTTCGGGCCAGCGCATCAAGTAACTTAACTCATTACTCATTACCAACTTACACATTTTATTACACTAATTTAAAATATTTTCTCAACTTTTTAACCAATTTATTTCTACCTCGTATATATATACTTTATTTTTTTGAAAAAAAACTAGTCAAAATGTTAAATCAATTTGTATGACTTGCAAACTTGTCATGTAATTAATCATAATTGGTAAAGTATTATAGCTAATAGTAATGGTGATATCAATATTTGCAACCAAAAGACACCGTTAATTGTTTATTTGATATTTTAGTATTAATTCATTAGTAATTGGATTAAAGCATCTCGTTTAGTATAACCATGCAAATCTGGTATTTGGCGTGTGGTATTTGGCAAAAGCATAGTGATAAAAGGAGTTATTTCAAAATAACTCATTGCCCAAATAACTTTAGTAAACTGTTGCCAAACTAGTTATTTGTAAAATTGTTAGAATTATCCTAAACATTGAACCATTAAAGATTAGCTATCAAATTTAGTAAATTATTGTGACTTCAATCATAACTTACTCAATAGCATATATCCTATACACTTAGCTTTACCCTCAATCAACAATATTAAGTTAGTATATGTTGTTTATTGTATACCCTAAACCATCAATGCATTATACACTAACCACATAACCTATACCCTAATCATATGTCCTTGAGTTGTGATTTTGCTAGTATAGTTAATTTAAAAGTGAAATTCATACTTTGATTTTCAAAACATAGATAAAAAGTGATATTTGCTAATTGTTATACCCTAACCATATATCCTATACTTTACACCACATACCTTGTACCCTAACCACGTACCATAAACATAAATTAAAAAGGGATCTCCTGTAGTTAAAGACTTCAAATGACTTCAAGTGAACATAGTTAATAAAAAACTTAGAATCGTCAAAACCATCAATATCTTATATCCTAACCATATACACCGTAAACCATATGTACCTTATACCTTATACCCTAACCATATACTTTATATCCTAAACAACGAACCGTCAAAGATTACTTATGAAGTTTAGTATAAATTGTTGTAACTAATGGTTAATTTATTTATTAGCTCATAAAAAATTACATACATATATACATATTAGCCTTCAAAGCATATAAGAATAATTTTAATTAGTCATGCCCTCCATATAAAAGTTAAAGATTCATATTTCAAAAACTAAAATTATCAAAAACCAAAAAATTGAAAACACCAAATTTGTTTCCTTCTTTCTTTTTCACAAAAATACTAAAATTTTCCTCCTTCTTTCTCCTTCCATACATTAGAAAAACTCAATTTTCCCTCCTCTTTCTCTTCCATAAAATTGAAAGAACCAAATTACCCTCTTCTTTCCTTCTACAAAAAGTTGAAAAGTCAAAAGTTTCCCTCCTTATTTCTCTTTCATAATCAAAAGAATCAAACTTTGCCACTTCTTTCTCTTCCCACATATCAAAACCACCAAAATTCCCACTTGTTTCTTTTCTAAAAAATTCAAAGAACCAAATTTCCCTCTTCTTTCTCTTCCCAAAAACTTGAATACACCAGAATTTCCCTCTTCTTTTAAAAACATCAAATTACCAAATACATTACTTTACTTTATTTATATTTAATTAATAATTTTATTGAATAGTTAAATTAACCAAAATTTTAATTTATATATTATAATAATATTGTCATGATCTCAAGTGACCTTCATGTTTCAATTTTTTTAATTTTCTTAAAATACGTAATATCAAGTGAGTTTCATATTTTTAAAATTACTTATACGAAATGAAAAAATAATTTTAATTAAGTTTAGAATGAAAAAATTTATTTTGAAAAACTATGTATTGTATATTTTTATAATTATTCAAGTGGATCAGATGAAATTTGGGTTGAGTCGGTCGGGTTACGGGTTAATCGAGTTGCGGGTCAGTCGGGTTGGGGTCAATCAGGTTCGGGTTAATCGGGTTGCGGGTTAGTTGGGTTGCGGGTCAATCGGGTTGCAGGTCGGGCGGGTTACGGGTTGTTGACTTTTAGTCAATTCGGGTTGCGGTCAGGTTGCGGGTCGGGTTGATCGGACGGGTTAATCGGGTCGGGCTATGTTTTGACACCTATAGTTGCTATCATTGTCAAAGTTTTAGGATGCATTATCCATTAAACACATATTACTTATTAATGCGTTTTTTGTGCTATTTGACATTAAACATTGCATCTGAATATTATTAATATTTTTATATTACAAAAATCTATTTTCTTATCAGTGACTTGATCATTCTATATTAATGGTTTTTAATATCTTTATTAAAAGTTTGATGTCATTTATAATGTTGAAGTCGGACATTTTTACATTGATGTTTTGTGTTTATTTTCAACGAAATACTTTTCGTTATCAATGATTTATTGTATTGTTATTAAAAGTTTGGTGTTGAGGCGTGAATGTTGGTTTGCTTGAGCTAATATTTTTCTGGACAATGTTTGTTTGACTGAATCACACAGGTGCACTATGTCACAAGTACCCAAGATGTTGAAAATTAGTATTGTGCTTTATGATCATCGAGAATGATAATGTAAAGCAATATTAATTGATCATAAAACGTTAATAATGTCATTAGAAATCATTGGAAGAGGCCATGACTAGATAGTTATAAACATGATGTGAAAATGTGAATCATTAGTACTAAAGATGTTGTAAATCAATGATATTGTTATTCAAATTATTAATGACTATGTTACATAACTTTAATGATTCATTCATAGGCGTTGATGACGAAACTATAAAACAGTAACAATTGATCCAAAATTGTTAATAATGTAATTGTAAGGAATTGATAAGTATATTGAAGTCGTTAATAATGATGAGATGTAATAATAATGATTCATTTCATAAATGTTAATAATGTCATTGCAAAATCTTCATACTGTATTGCAAGTTGCCACGAAGTGAGAGAGAGCATATATTTTTAATTTCAATTTTCATTTTAAAAAATAAAAAATATTAAGTTCGAATTTATTAAATATTAAATAATAATATTTAATTAAATTAATTTCGAATTTCCTTTTAATTGTAGCGGAAAGAGAGGGTTATGGAGAAGATCAAGGGGGAGAGAGAAAGAGAATCATTAATTAATAAGTAATATTAATTATATTTTCATAATATCTTATTTATTCCAACTAACTATTAACTACTAACCTCTCATTAACTACCTAACTAGTATCAGCCAATAAAAATGGTTTAAGAACCTCCTTAAATAATGAGGCTTAAGGACCGGATAAGTGGAAGTAAAATGTATTATACGTGGACTACAAGGTGAACTGGTGCTTTACTTCTTTTTCATGTTTTATGGGATTGTCATCTATGGTTTCATGCGCTGCTTGGATCTTTGGATATGAGGAGTAATGTGATATTAGTATTGATTATGGAGGGTATAATCATTGAAGACTTATCCCCTCTTGACTTTGTCATAATTGGCCTTAATATAAATGCAAGAGCTAAATGATTTAAATGTTTTTGTTGCCAAAAGGATCCATGTTCTGTAGCTGAAAGATAGCAATTCTGATTGTGTTCTGTCTTTGTAATTTTTATGTCTTTATTGTATAAGTTGTATCTCGTCACCTCCAGGAAAGGTTC